GTGTTATTCAGGCTTTGTTGAGAGCATATGCAGAGTAAACTTGGTATAACTTTGAAGGTCCTTAGAATTTAGAATTTTTAGAATGATAAATGAGCACTGGCTTCAACTTGAGGTCACCAGCTGCATTGACTCTTAATAAGAGAGTCACTTGTCCTTTGAAACTAGAAATTGATTTCTCCATCTATGAAACTACTACATGGCATCTTTTAATATAAGGCTGTTTGGTCTATGTTGAAAATGTGTTGGTTAGTGTAGCCTCTTCATTGATGATATTAGTTCCATCTCCTGGATAAGTTGCTGCAGCTTCTGCATCAACACATTCTGCTTTACCTTGTATTTCTCTTTGTCAGAATCTCACGAACCAACATCTGCTAGCTTTCGGATTTTCTTCAGCTTCCTCACCTCTCAGCCTTTATAGAACTGAAGAGTGTTAGGGTTTTGTTCTGGGTTAGGCTTTATCTTCAGATGGTGAATCTTCTATCCAGACCACTGACTTCCCATGTCAGCAATAGGATTATTACCTTCTTATTATTTGTGTGTACACCAGAGTAGGACTTTTAATTTCCATCAAGAAATCTTCCTTTGCTTTCAATACTTGACTAACTTGTAGAACAGACCTGGATGTTGACATGCTTCTCTGACAAGCCCAATCATTTCTAGCTTTTGACTTAAAGTGAGAAGTTTATGACTCTTCTTTCTCTTGAACACTTGGAGGCTGTCGTGGAGTTACCAGTTGACCTAACTCAAATTATTGTGTACTAGGGACTACAGAGGCATAAGAAGAGGGAAAAAGAGAGGGCAAATGGACAGCTGGTAGAACAGTGAGCACACTCTCAACCTTTATTAAGTTCATAGTCTTATATGAGTATGTTTTTCATGATACCCCCCCAAACAATAACCATACACAATAATATTGAAAAAGCTTGAAATATTACGGGGATTAGGATTGCCAAATTGTGACACAGACACAAAGTCAGCATATGCTATTGAAAAAATAGACTTGCTCAATGGAGAATTGTCAGAGTCTTCAATTTATTTAAAAGAAAAAAAAGTGTGTCTGTGAAGCACAGTAAAGCAAAGGGCAGTAAAACAAGTTATGCTTGTATCTACAAAATTAAAAGATCAATCCTCAAACTTGTGGCATCCATGTGAGAAGACAGTGGAATAATATCTACAAAGTTCTAAGAGAAGAATATATTTGGTCAAGTTGTGCTTCATATATGAAAGTAATAGCAAAATTCTCAAGTCTGCAGAGATTTTCAGTGATAGTACCAGGTAGCACTGATAATTTTTTTTGGTGGTACTACAGTTTTAGTTGAGGGTCTTGCACTTGCTAGGTAGGCACTGTACCACTTGAACCACACCCACAGCCCTCTTTGCTTTAGTTCATTTTGGGATAGGGTCTTAACATTTTTGTCTAGGCTGGCCTGAACCACAGTCCTACTATTTATGCTTCCCGTGTAGCTGGGATGACAGGTGCATACTACCATGCCCAGCTTTTTATTTGTTGAAATGGGGTCATATGAATGTTTTGCCTGTGCTGTCCTAGAAGCTCAATCCTCTGATCTCCATCTCCCAAGTAGCTGCAATTATAGACATGAGCCACCATGCCCAGCATCAAATAAGTTTTTACCAAATTAAAATATTTCGTAAATAATGTGTGTATCCATGTTCATGTGTACATTTTTCACAGTAAGAATGAGGTACTGTCATACAGGTACATACAGCTATAAGAAACAGAACTAAGAAACCTCTTGCAATTTCTTGAAGTAGGGTGGGGAGGGTGTTGAGGGGAAGAGATGATGGGGGCAGTGTAAATAATGTACAATATAAATAATTGAAATTGATGTGTAGTTGAATAAAGGGCTTCCAGCCGCTTTATGTTTTTCATAATTTTCTGTATCTTTAAAACAATCATTGGGGGCGTCCATATACTTAATGTCTAAGGAACATTCAACAGCTCCTGTAGATTCATTTCATTTCCTTTTCCTCCTATAAATCCAATTTATATGGTAAATCTTTGAAACAGCATTACTCATATAATTCCAGTTCTGTAAAGCTATAGCAAAGTAGTTAAGAAAAGTCTTGATTCAGATAGCTAGTGTGACTGGGAATGTTACCAGAATGTTATCTGTGTTCATCTGTAAAATGGGAATAGTTTCTAATTTATCCATGTGAAACCCTTGGTATACATCTCAAGTGTTAGTTATAATCACCTCTTATTCTCTTATTATTCATAGAGGTAGATCTATAATGATATTTGCCAAATGCTAATGATGGTGGTTGGCTTTGAGGTGATTTCTTCTTTTCTCATGCATTTCTCTATTGGTTGAACCTTTTTCTTTTCAGTGAGTAACACAAAGTTGTGTCTTTCAAAGTAAGATGAATTTTAGCTGTCTCTGAAGTTCTTTTGCATCTGAAATCTCAGTTGTCAAGCCTAGACATCTGTATTTTTAAAATGCTTCTCAAATGATTCTGATGATGCATCAGATCTGGAAAGCCTTTGGCATAAGTAACTTACCAAAACCCAATTCAAATGAATATAATGTGCAATGTCTGTCATGTGCAATGTCTCTTCTTCCAGTCTGCTCTACTTCTGTTCTCTTGTTAAGAATCTGAAGAGATGGACATAACTCTTGCCAGAAATCTGAGTGGGCTTTTGTGGGATGCATTCAGCTTACATGGGATGACTCTTTCATGTCAGGAGCAGGAAAGAAAAATGGGAGATTATAAATAGTCAGAAGGCAGGAGTCCTTGAAATTAGAAGGGAATAGGGTAAAAGCAACCAAGAGAAGTCAGCATATACTGACTAATAATGCTCTGGGGAGAGAAGAGTAAGAGTATGGTAGTCTTAGGTAACTTCACAAAATAGTTTAAACTAAAAGCAAATTGTGTAATACCAAGAAGTGTTTTCCAGGACTACTTCTATGACTTTGAACTTTGATTTTTTTCCTTAGCTTCACTACCTCCCAATATTATCTTTTTCAGAATCAGTATAGTCAGCCCTCCATATCCACATCCATAGATTCAACCAACTTTGAATTAAAAATAATGGGGAAAAATTGCATACATAGTAAACATACACAGACTTTTTTCTTGTCATTATTACCTCAATATAACAATAATTTGCATAGCATTTACATTGGATTAGGTATTATAAGTATTCAAGACATAATTCAAAGTATGTGGGAGGATATGTATAGGTTGTATGCAAATACTTTGTCACTTTACACAAGGAATTTGAGCACCTGTGGATTTAATATCCCTAGAGAGTCCTTGGACCAAATCCCCCACTAATACCTAGGGACAAATATAATTATCTTGAGTAGAGGTGTACCAGATGTCTGTACACCTCTCTTGACTTCTCTTTTCTTCCAGATCTTGGCTTCACTAATTCTCACAGCCATGATGATTTACCAGTGTTTTCAAACACAGTTTTTATGTTTTGTTCAGTTTTTCTGATTGTATTTTGATGATTGCTCTAAAAGAACCTAGTCATGCATTCTAGAAATACAACCATGTGAAACTGTTTCACTTTTTTGTTGTTGTAGCAAGTACTGGTTTGCACATTTTGGTTTTATAAAATATTTAAGAGTAATTTTGATTTGGTGGCTTATCCCCCAGATCTCATCTTTAATACATATGTCCTTTATCCTCTGCTATTAATGGTGACTTTGTGATGAGTTTGAGAAAATGTAATAGAGAATTGTGTGTGTGTGTGTGTACCTACATATGTGTGTTTAGCATTGGGAATTGAACTCAAAGCCTTGCGCTTGCTAGGCAGGCACTATTCCACTTGAACCATGCCCCCAGTCCAAGAATTGACTTTTCTTAAGCAGGCAGATGTGGGTTCACATTTATGCCTCTTGATCATGCCAATTTGTGTGAGTTACCTGTTTACTTTCTTAAAGTTTGTGTTTCCCCATCTGCAAAATTGGCATAGCAAAAATGAAAAATCAAATTACGTGTATAGCATCTGGCATACGCTATATGCCTAGCAAACTCATTTTTTAAATTATCTTGGAGAATTGGAAATTATATACTTAAGACCACTCTCATAAGGAATCTACAGGAATTTGTAACTTCACCATGTAATTATTAGCAAACCCTAACAGGGGGTCTGTAGGTTTGGCTTTGAGGTAATTCAACAGACTTTTTTTTTTTTTTTTTAGCAGCCACTATATTCCAGGCACCCTACTTAATCCTGGTAATATATAAATCTCATTCCAGAACCGTGTAGTCCAGTGGGGTAACAGTGAAAGATGGTGAGCAGGAGGAGCCTATACCCAACACTGGCAGTGAAGTCAGGGTATTATAGCATAGGCCAGCAAATTTTTTCTGTCAAAGACCAGGGAAGGCTTTGGAGACATATTACCTTGTTGAAATTAAATCCCAGATCATCTCTGATTTGGAGTGCAAAAACAGCCACAGTCAATACAAGTGGGTTAACATGGATGTGTTCAAATAAACCTTTATAAAAACAGGTGGCAGGCCCCCAAACTCTGCTGACTGTAATCCTTCCACATGCTAAATGACTTTCATATTTTTTAAAGAGTTGTTGGGAAAGAAGAACAATGTATGTGGTCCACAAAGCCTGAAGTATTTTATTTCTAGTCCTTTATGGAAAAAAGTTTGTTAACTCCTGGGTTGGGTAATAGAATGACTGGTGATTGCTACAAAAGAGAATGGTAGAATTAAGTACTCAGAGTTGACATCCAAGAAAGACAAAGATCTTGACAAGTAGGTTTGGGTTCACAAAAAATCCTGGTGAAAAGAATAGGAAATTCTGTGTGCAAATGTTGACATTCACCCAGGCACCACACCAACGATTGTTCTTATTATCTATTTTATTGAATTGTCCATAAAGTACAGCAAATAAGGTGGTAAAGTCATAGATAAGCAGAAGTCAACTATTATTAGAAATGTTTTTCTATATGAAAGGAATTAACTTTTCTTAGACTTTTGTAGTTTTGGTATGCTTATTGCCTAATTTCTTTCTTTTTTTTTTTTTAAACAGAAATACACTTTCGGGAAATGGCCTCTAAATCTTGGTTGAATTTTTTAACTTTCCTCTGTGGATCAGCAATAGGATTTTTCTTATGTTCTCAGCTATTTAGTATTTTGTTGGGAGAACAGGGTGACACCCAGCCTAGTATTCTTCATAATGATCCTCACGCTAGACATTCAGATGACAATGGACAGAATCATCTAAAAGGACAAATGAACTTCAATGCAGATGCTAGCCAACATAAAGGTATGGTGTATGTTAGAAATATGCTATTATTGTTGGAGAAGTTAGCAGTATGCTTTTTATTATGTCACTGCCTTCATCTGTTTACTAACATGAGCTGTACATTTGAGATAGTAAACAATTTTTGGTTTGTCTCCGGAGAAGGAAATTGTTTAAACCAAGATTTATTTAAGAAGTTTTTAGTTTTAAGTAAAATTGGTTCAGAAACCATAACTTGGAGAAAGGTATAGATTTTTGGAAATGTTTCCTTTAGGTTCTATTTTGTTATGGTTTATATCTGTATTTATGGTTTTTGCTTAGTCTTAGTCCTAGGAAACACCTCTGTCTCCCTATCTCTCTTTTTCTGTATCTGTTCATACATGCACGTGTACACGCACACATACGCTCGCATCTCTGTTTGTATTTTTATCACTAGTTAATATAACTGAACTCATTTCCTTTTGAGAGGCATAAAGAACTAAAGGAGGAAAAAAAAAGAAAAAGTAGGAATGTGTTAATAATGACTTCATTTTCTCCTGACCTCTTATGTATAACCAGATTTTTTCAGTTGAGTCTTCCATGTGCTTTAAATGTTGGTTTTCACCAAGTTTCTTCCCTTTCTTTGTGTAATATCATCAGCCTTATAATTCTAATTTCCATTTATTCCTTATGTTCAGCTCAATTCCAGACACTGAGAGAAGACATTATGAACACAATAAAAAGATCTCTGCAAACTGATTTATTTGGCAGAAAAGAATACAAGCAGCTTGAAAATAGTAGAAATTCTAGGATATCGAGAGTCCCGTACTAACAGTTGTTTCTCTTGTCTTCCTAGTCGTAGATTATTTCTTCCCTCCCTCATGCAGAGATTGAAGGCTGATTCAGTTTTACCAACAATCAAATGAATGCATGCTGTATTACAAATTGCCATGTTATATGAAATATTTATGTACCAATGATTCATCTCTGAGTAGTCTCTGTGGTCTCTGTGCCCATGTTCTGTAGCATAGCTCCATGTCTTTGGATGATTAATTAGAAACATACTTCCCTATCATCAGTATGCTGTGCTGTGCCTCACTGTAGTCACAATTTGATAAGTATTTGTTCTGCTCTATGACCCACAAAATGTTGGTTTTGCTAGAAGTCTCTCTATTCCTCTCATTCACCATGCATACTGGACTCTGTTTCTCCCCATTCCCCAAACTTGCTCTTCCTTTCTATCTTCCTTATTTTATATTGCAGTTACTATCTGCCTAAGCCAGAAACAATGAAATTGTGATACATGCTTTCCTTCACATACAAATACTGAATTCTACTTCTTCACTGGTTTTTCAGATTCTTCCCTCTCAATTACATTTCCCTTAATTAAAGCCTTCAGCTATACCCACATACCTGCACTCAACTAAATGTTGCCATGCCTTTTTTTCTTTCTTGAGTGAGCATCTCACGTTACTTAGAGTTATTTGGGTTTTTTGTTGCTTTTGTTTTTGGCATCATCTCTTTGTTTTTTCTTGTGTCACTTTGTCCCCCTTCTCAGTTTCTACTCAAATCTTTGGTCACTACTCTAGAATTTATCAGACTACTATCTTTTCCCTTAGCACATTGAACCCTTTGTACATACTTTCATTATTGCATCTCTTAGTATGCAGCAGTAATTGATTTGCATGTGAAGCTCCCCTGCTAAATTGTGAAATCCTCTGCCACAGGAAATGTGTCTTGTTCATCTTTTCATCTCCTGTGCCCATACATGGCTGGTACAGCGTAACTAGTAAATGAACAATTGAGAGAGTAAAAATACCTAGCACATATCAGCAGTAGGGAGAAAACTGTCTTGTCCTAAGTGAGACAAATGGAGATTCCTACATGTACCATTTTCTCTATGTCCATCTAGGGTTTGGTGTATCTGTGTAGCTAAGAGATTGGCTTCTTAGGTATATAAGCAGTGAATGCTTTCTGACTGAAAGTAGGGAGATTTTTGTCTGTTTTTGTTCTTCTGGATTGTGATTTCTTGGTAGTCATGTTCCACCCAACCTTTTCTTCTACTCTGCCTCTAGCTACCAAATTATGCCTCTGTTGTTAAATTTTCATGGGACTGTGAGGCTTAACTCACTATTTGACCTTAACTTTAAGGGTATGTTTCTTCAGGAAACACCTAAAATATTGGCACTCAAGATGTAGCTTGCAGATTTGTGCTGGTCTGCATTTAAATAAGCATTGAAATCTGAGTGATTTTGTCTGAGTCTAAAAATAAAGACTTGGGTCCTGTGTTTTATATTTTTTAAGCTTATATTTCTGCAATAATTCTTTCATCACTTGTAAAAATAAAGGTCTCTAACAATTAGAAAGATTGGTTCCACACAGCAGGTACTTGAGAAGCACTAATCTAGAATCTTGTAATTATCCTGCTCTTCTAGACCAATGCTATTCATCAGTGTGCTTGCCTGACAGACTGAAAAATCCGTTTAAGTGCCTAAACTTACTGCTTTGTGAAGTGGATTTTTTTGTTTTGTTTTGTTTTGGCTTGGTTTGTTGTTGTTGTTGTTTGTCAAAACCTTCTGTGATGAAATAAGTAATACCCTGCTTTTATATTCTGACTTAAGCTCCTATTTTCTTTGCAGACTGATAGTTTAAGAAATACTACTCTACATAATCTTGGAGGTCCAACTTCTATAAGCATCATTCTATTCTGTTTCTGACTATGGGAGTTGTATTTTAGAATGAGGTATATAGTACTGTCAGAAGTAATCTCAATCCTATATTAATTCCTCTATTTTTTTTAACCTGGTATAATCATGAAAGTCTTCAAGGCTACTTCAAGATAATTGTAGAAATTCATAATAATTGACTTTTTAATGAGCCTCAAAAAGAACTGCATTTCATCACCATGTTTTTTTGGCCCTTTAGAAGTTCATTCTGAACAATGAGAAGTTCCTATAAGTATTCTGCCAAAAAAAAAAGTTAAAGCTGTCTTTGTAGAATAAGGTGGAAGCACATACTATTTAAGATGGTATTTAATGTGTATATGAACCACCAGGAGAACTTGTTAATTCAGTGGATCCTGGGGTAGGGCATGAGATTCTGCATTTCTAACAAACTCCCAGGTGATGCTGATGCTTTTAGTCAGTGAGTCATAGTTGGAATACTAAGAACTTAGGTCCTAGTGACAGCTTCAGCTGTCTTCCGGATAAAAGTGACCATGAAACTAATAAATCAGAATGTCAGTTCATAGTTTAGGTTGAATTTTGCTTTATTTAGTCTAAGTCACCAATAATAGATGGATAAAAAAGAGGAGACTTTTAAGAAAATGTTTTCTTTGATATAGTTTCTTTGGGTTTTACATCTATGTAAATATAACTTTTTTAAATGTTTGTTTAATAGATGAGAACACAGACATCGCTGAAAACCTCTATCAGAAAGTTAGAATTCTTTGTTGGGTTATGACAGGCCCTCAAAATCTAGAGAAAAAGGCTAAACACGTCAAAGCTACCTGGGCCCAGCATTGTAATAAAGTATTGTTTATGAGTTCAGAAGAAAATAAAGACTTCCCTACTGTGGGATTAAAAACCAAAGAAGGCAGAGATCAACTGTACTGGAAAACAATTAGAGCATTTCAATATGTTCATGACCATTATTTAGAAGATGCTGATTGGTTTATGAAAGCTGATGATGATACCTATGTAATACTGGACAATTTGAGATGGCTTCTTTCAAAGTATGAGCCTGAACAACCCATTTACTTTGGGAGAAGATTTAAACCCTTTGTAAAGCAGGGTTATATGAGTGGAGGAGCTGGATATGTACTAAGCAAAGAAGCCTTGAAGAGATTTGTCAATGCATTTAAAACGGAGAAATGTACACATAGTTCCTCCATTGAAGACTTAGCACTGGGAAAATGCTTGGAAACTCTAAATGTAGAAGCTGGAGATTCCAGAGATAACACTGGAAAAGAAACTTTCCATCCCTTTGTACCAGAACACCATTTAGTCAAAGGTTATCTACCCAAAACTTTTTGGTACTGGAATTACAACTATTATCCTGCTGTACAGGTAAGTTTAGAAATTTTATTACTGTATAAATATGCTTGGGTCTTACTTTTGTTGACTTAAAAAAGAAAAACCCAAACTAGCTGATGTGTGTGTTTCTTTAATACCAATAACTAGAACTCTCTCTTAGTCTTCTTAGTCTTTTTATAGAGAGTGGCAATGTAACAAAGCAGATGAGTACAGGGGCATCAGCAAAAGTCATTCAACAAATATCTGTTGATACTATTATATGTAAGGCACTGAGAGCATAGAAGTAAATGAAGTCAAGTTCCAGTTTCCAAGAACCTTACATTCTACGTGAGATGATGCACAATAAACAGCAGACTGGTAGATAAAATGGTAATTCTTCTGGAGAAAAAGAAAGCCCAAGTAAAGAGGTAGAGAGTGACTGGTTTGGGTCATTAAGGAAGGCCTCTCTAAGGGACGACTTTAAGCAAGTCCCTGAGTGAGGCTAGAGAGAAGACAGTGTGATGATCTGGTTAAAGAGCTTTCTCATCATTTGGAAGACTTGAAGGTTCGGAAAAGATTTGGTTCAAATCCTATATTCCCACTTAATAGTTGAATGATGTTGGGTGGACCAAATTTGGCTAACATTTGAGCCTCAGTTTCCTCATGTATAAAATGGGCATGATCTACCTGTGTCACATGCTTGTAATTACAGTGTAGTGCAACCTGTCACTCAGTAACTGTTTAATAAGCCTTTGCTCTAGTTTTATACCTTACCATATATTTCTGAGAATTGTATATAAAATACATTGTTGTATGAATTATTTCAGGTGAAAAACATTTGAGAATAATAAGATACCTTCTACTTACCCTCCAACTTTTCTTTTTGCTACACTTGCTTCAAATTTTTTCAAAGAAAAAAAGTGTTCTATAGTTGAGACTTGTGTACCCTCCCTAATCTAGTTCGCTTATCTCCTTCCTCAGAATTAAAAACTATTGTGAATTTAACATTACTTATTACCATGCATGTTTTTCTGTTTTTTTCTACATGTTGGTATATCCATAAATGTAGTACTGTTTTTCAGATTTAAAATAGATTATACAGTATGTATCTTTCTACAGTTTTCCCTTTTCATAAAACATTCAGATATATTGGCATTAATTTATGTATCTGCTTCATTAAAAACCTGTATAACAATCTAATATATGAATATACTGTAGTTTTTCTGTTTTCCTGCTGATTTAAATGTAGATTTTTCCTAGTTTTTCAGTTATAAGCACATAACTGAACATGACTAGGAAACATGTAACCTAGGGTTTAAGACTCAATTCGTTATTGATTAACAATGCCTTTAGGCAAGCTGCTAGTTCTCTATGCCTTCTTTTCTCTGGGACTCACATATTAATAATACACTTCAAGGTCCTACTCTCTTCACAAGCCAGTAATTGTAAATTATCATCTAGAACAGTGGTTTTCAACCAGGGACAATTTTTGCCCCAGGACATTTGGTAAGGTCTAGAAACATTTGGTTGTTAAAACTGAGAGGTTGCTATTAGCATCTAGTGACTAGAATCCCACTAGATGCTAACCATCCTACAATGCACAGAATACCCCTCTAACCTCATCTCCCACCCCCACCTCCAAACACAGAATTATCTAGTACAATGTTACTAATGCCAAGATTAAGAAACCCTGGCCTCAAACATCTCACCCAACTTTATGTTAGCCAGCTTTAGAAGGAAACTTTGAGGTGAATTACTACTACATCTGCTATCAACAATCTGTGTATTCTTGGTATTCAAAATAACTGATACATAAAATAATTCTGCATTTAATGGATGACCATTAACTCACCTGGAAATAGTCTAGGCAGTGTTGTAGACCACTGTGGTTCTAAAAGCTCTTATTGCAAAGGAGCTCCTTGCTGTGATTAATGGGGTATGTGTCAAATGAAGGGGTAGAGCAGATACGTTCAAATAAACATTGTTGGGGTAAAATCAAGGAACATTTTTAAGTTCAGTTCTAGGTAATGAGATTATTAAAATTTCATGCTAGCATTTCATTGTTAGCATAATTGCCACAATTTCTTAGACCATAAACAAAAGTATTTGATTCTTGGGATTGACCCCATGGCCTCAGGCATGCTAGGCAGGCACTCTGCCACTTGAGCTGTACTGCCAGCCCTTTTGTTTATATTTTGTTTTTGAGATAGTGTCTTCTAATATTGCTAGAGCTGGCCTTAAACTTGAGATTCTTCTGACTCTGCCCCCCAAGTAGCTGAGATTGCAGTTGTGCTTTACCATGCCCAGATCCAGTCTGTTTTCTGATAGTCTATTTTTCTTTTATATTAATGAGGTACTGCTTTGAATGCTTTTTGATCTAGCTGGCCATTATAAGATAACTTGACCTTTTCCCTTCTTAATTCTGTACCCCCTCTCATATAACAATATATTCAAATTCTAGAACATTACAAAGCATGTAACAAATATACCCAAATGCATACGAAAATTTTTAAGAGTATTTGAGATTGGATACATGTACATAATATAAAAGGACATTGCAGCTTTCATTATTTTATAGCCAGTAAAATATCCCTCCTTGTTTTTAAGAGTACCTTTCCTACTTTACAAATAGGGCATACCTAACAATATGCTTTTTATAAATAAAATATTTTATAATGCATCTTTTGTTTAAATTATAGTGGTCTGAAATGGATGGTAAAAGTCATTGTCCCCATAAAAATTTATTATCCTGAAGATTCTAAAAAAAAATTGAAGTACTAAAATTGACCAAGTCTTCTAAAATGTTTTTATCAGAGTCTACCAAACCCAGTATGAAACCAAAATTCTGTGACCTATCATTTAATAAATTTTCTTCTCTCTATGTGAGTTACATTTCCAAAGCCTTTCTGAACTCATACATACATTTTTTTCTCTGTAGTAATCACTAAGAGTACAATATAGAATTTGAGGGAAGTTACTTTGTTTTTTTATTTTTCTATTTTTTTGTTATTGGCTTTTTTATTTGTTTTTTTGAGATAGGGTCTTTCTGTGTAGACCAGGCTGGCTTAGAACTTGAGATCTTAACCTCCCAGTGTCTCAAGTGCTGGGATTACAGATGTGCACCACCACATCTAACTAGAAATTTTTTTATCTGTAAGTTCATCAGAGTTGTATTCTTTCTTTATTTAATTTTTTATTGTTATGCCGGGTGGGGGTATATTGTGGCATTTGCAAACATTCATAAAATATATCAAATATATCATTCTTGGATTTACCCCTCCACTGTTCTCCTTTATCCCTCCTCCCAGTTACAGTCTTAAGTTGCTTGTTCAGAACTATTGTTTATGCAGTTCCCTTGCCATACCACCTTTTCATTTCCTTAGAAGTTTTTTAGAAATGGGCTATTCAATGTAGAATTTGCAATCTTAATACAAGGTGTTAAAAATAATGTAATTATTCATATATGTATTTGTGTGTGTATGTATCCCTCCACATGTAAACTTTGTCTTTTTTGTAGGTATGAAATGGTAAAATCTGATTTTTTCTGTTTTTCAGGTTTTTTTTGCATTAACCCTAGTCTGTCTGAAACTTACTAAAAGTTATAATAGTTACTAATATTAATAACCTTTTGCAGATGAGGAAATTGAAACTTTTACAGATTTATTAAGTTGCCCAAAGTCAAATAGTAGTCAGAATTTGGATTCAAGCACAGGTCTGGCTTGAGAATTTCCTCTCTCAAATACTATATCATTTGGGTTGATAGATAAAATATGAGGTTGTAGACACATAATGGGCAAGGTTTTATAGTAATTGAAGGCTACAGAAGTGTCTTTTTGAGGCTGAACCAAGCATAAAATTTTAGTAAAATCATGCAGAGAAAACAAAAGTTGGACAAATAGAGCCTTATTCTTTGTATAGCTGCTTCCTTCTATTTGAAGAAGTCTCAAGAATTCTGTGTACCAAAACACTGACAAGTACAAGAGAAAACATTTTAGTTAGAAATACTTTGACAATTTCAGCTTTGGTCTTAAATCATTAGGAACTCTAAAAACTTTTTTTTTTTTTTTTTACCACAGGTCTAACAGATTAGCTACCTCTGCTTTACCTTGCCAGCTTTAATGTTTCAATTCTTCTAAAATTAGTATGTCCTTTGTAAGTATGTGACTATTGTATGTTTGTGTGCTGTTTTTAACAATGCCTGTTTCCGCTACTTTTTAGGGTCCTGGTTGCTGTTCTGATCTTGCCGTTTCTTTTCATTATGTTGATTCTGCAACTATGTATGAATTAGAATACCTCGTTTATCATCTTCGTCCATATGGTTATTTATATAGATATCAACCTGCCTTACCTGAGAATATACTAAAGGAAATAAGTCAAGCAAGAAAAAAAAATGAAGATTTAAAAGTAAAATTGGGAAACCCTTCAAAGAAAAGTGAATGAACTAAAGTAAGATGGTCTAGCATTGCACTGAAGAACTTCTGCATTTCTGACATTGAACCTTGAAATCCCAGTGAGGAATTCATTCTAAGTGAACATTCCACATAGTAATCTATCAAATGAATGGCTGTAAACTGAAGCTTTAAATGAGCTGTGAAGTCTGTTAAAATGTGTTTTGATACAGTAATATATAAATATATCTTTGAAGAACTTGTGTTTTTAAAATGGTGACAGTAGAAGAACTAGAAAAGAGATTTTGTTGGCTGTTCCTGACCATGTGTATTATTGTTACTGAGAAACTAAAACAGTGAAGTTTGCTATAGCTGCACTGCACCATGTTAGTAACAGACACAATGCTGAACAGATCTGCCTTAAAGAAAATTTTAGAAGGAAATACTGTTGCTCAGTGTTGTTTATAAACTCATTTGCAGTACGATATAAATGAACCGCCCCCATTTGTCTAATGAAAATTTTCCTGTGATTATAACTGGCAGTGTTTCTTCAAGAAGGTAGCATAAGAATGGCACTTATCCTAAAGTGCATTAATAAAACCACATTTTGAAATTACCATGGGCCTTGACTATATTATATAATTGGTTCTAATTAATCTTTTACCGAGTCCCTGTTGTCTTTTTTCTAAATGTTTAACCACTCTTGAATGCCATTCTCCACTATTAATACTTATTTACTCAAAGCATTAGTAGCATTCTGTAAACATACATTTTAAAATACTTTGGTTCCAAATTTATCCTTTTTTAGTGATCAGTACCTAATAAATAGTTAAGTTTAATGCTAAGTGGGCATGCTTTTTTTCTTTCATTGCCACTCTCAGGAATTACTAGGTGACATTTTAATTGATTATTTAAGACTCTTTCTAATGACATAATTATTGTTCCTTACATTCTCATCCTGTTGAGAAATGAGAACTTTTTTGTGCCTTCCATAACTTGTTTAAAGCATTTTTAATTCATTTTTTTGAAGTCTGAGGTGCCTGTTAGGCTGGCAAAATATTTTGAATACAGGTTTTGACCAGAGTTAATTAAAAACGTTAGAAAATGTTATTTTCTAAACATTACTAAAATATATATTGAAAGACTAAATAATTTATGAATAACAACCTCAAGTTTATGCTGACTTAACAGTTTTGGGACACTTGCCTTGCCAGTCATTAATTCTAACAAAAATACCCGTTCAAGACTCCCATCAAAAACACATTCATAAATGTTTCATTCTAATTTTAGTGACTCCCTGTTTAAAGAGTTTCTAGAGGGAAAGAAATTTAACTTCTGTTGCCTTCAGCAATACTAATCTAACAAAATTTTACAGATTTTTTTGTAAGTAATCGTTTTTGACATTGCATATAATTTATATTTCTTACTACACTAATTTTATATAGTTGTCACACCATTGACTCTGTTGCTTGGCTGAGTAATTTACATTTATTGTGCCAAAATACGTCAAAAGCCATGACCCCTTTGGATGGTACATTCAAGAGTAGAATGTTCTTTTCAGTGGCTAATTTTGGATTCCTCTGCCCACATAGTGAAAACAGACACCAGCTTTACCTATTAAATTGTTCTTTGTTGTTTCTATGGTGATGTCATCTGCCAAAACATCAATACATTTATTCTATTCTTTGAACAATTCTTTACTATGGTGTAGACATGAATTAATTTTTCTGAGGGTTCATATATGCTATCCTTTACTAGAAGTATAAATGGCTAATAATATGAATGCTGTGATGAATCCTGGACTCTGGAGTCAGACTGCCTAGGTTTTAAGTTCTTGCTCCATCACTTACATGACTTTTGTAACCTTGAGCAGTTTACTTAATCTCTCTGCCTCAATTTCCTCATCTGTAAATTAGGAACAAAAATACTACCTACCTCATAGGATTTTTATGAGGGTTAAATAAGTGACTATAAGGCTTATTAGAACACTAGTCCAATATAAGCAATAAGTGTAAAGTTTTATTCTGTGACCTTGGCGTATAAATATTTGATTTAAATGAATGAAATAACTAAATCAGATACTGAAGGAAATATTTCATACTTAAAATAAAAGCTAGTGTTCATCTAGTTCCTGTTGTATGCCAGGTACTGTGCTTGCTTTGTGTACATTAGTTAATCCTCACAAGTTGGGTGTTATTCCCATGTTATAGATGAGGAAAATGAGGCTGAGAGAAATAAAGTACAGAGTTAGAACTTATATTTAGAGACTATGTGTTCATTTGTATGATGTCAGCCTTGGGGTTAGTCATTTGGCATTACTTCCATTTTTCTGTATATGCTACATGGCATCTGATACTATTGACCATTAATAATATTACCCAGCCAAATAATCATAGTTACTCTTAAATTCTGGTTCTCACACTGTTGCCTGCGAGCTTGTTTAGATGGAGATCTCAGTCCATCTTTGAAGTCCAGGTGTGTGCATTTTTACCAGGTACCCCAGAGCATTGGTTGTCAAAGCATCATCACCTGGGAACTTTGGAAATGCAGCCCCACTTGGCCCCCAGCCCTACCTACTGGATCAGGAACTTCAGGGACAGGGACACGCCAGTGTGTTTAGTCAAGCCCCCATATGAGTCTTACTCATCATAGTTTGAGAGTCATTGCCCAACTACCAACATAATTTTGGTGCAAATAGTCTTCGGAACACACTCAGGATTACTGCCCCATGAGAGAGGCAATTTTTAAAGCCTTAAGAGAAGCATGTTTTAAATCAGTGTAGTCCTGGGTCATACCATATTAAAGGTAAAATAAAGGTCATTCACAGGGTCGGTGGATCATGGATTTTGGTAAAATTCTTTAGCTTCTCCAGAGTAACTAATATCAGGGTCCTCTATAACATGTATAATTCTCCAAGTTTAGTTAGTTCACATTGGGCAGGAAAAGTTCATTAAGTACTAATAAGTTCATTAAAAGCATATACAAATGACTCATCAAAAATGTCCACCATTATTACTAAAAAAATTTAAATAGAAATAGATAACAAAATGTTATTCTATAAGCTGCAGAGCATTTTCCTGCTAATTCATGCCATCAATTCAGATTTTATCACATTTAAGAATCATTTGTCCTAAAAAATTTTTCCACAAATATTTGATAGAGCACATAAAACAATATTTCATAATAATGAATTCATCATCTTTTACATTAGGATTTTTGTCATTTGGATAAGTGATTTTAGTGTGGTCTCAAAGCATAAGGTCTTATGTTATCTAATAACAATATGCTTATATTTTCTAGTGAGTTCATAGATAAAAAGCAGGTTTTTGTCCCAGAGTTTGATTATTTGTTTTTAAAACCTTGTATTTCAGAGGATTTTTTTTTTTGGCCACTGTAATATTAGAAAACATCATTGACCATTTTTTCATATTTTTTGAATATGGTAATTGGTCTTGCATTAACTTTGCTATTGGTTATTTTCATAATTGTTTCTTCAGTATTAATTTTTTACATAATCGATCCTATGAAACTACATTACTAGATTGAGGCCCTATTGTTCTTAAGACTCCCCTCACTTTGCTGATCATCTCACAGCTATCCTTTTATTCTTCACTTAAATTTTCAGTTCATTTGGTCATTATTTTGTCTTTGACATGTTCTGATTCTTTGTACTTATTGTCTTTATTTCCTTTTTTCTAGCTACTCTCAGTGCTGCCTTCCAAAGGTTAATTTGGCTGTTTTTAGTGATATAAACATATCACTTTAGTGATACAAACTTATAAATTTAGGTTTCCCTAGAATATTAAAAGTTTTAGGAATAATATCTAATGGCTCTCAGGATATTTGTCCTACTTAAAGTACACAATTTTAAACTAATCCATGCCTACAGTTACTATTTCTCCACTCACCCTTCTCTCAAAAAACTCTCTTAAAAACAAAAACTCATACATTTCTCCACTTCTCTTATATAAGGCCCCACAGAAACACACAAGAAATCTGAGAGACAACCTGTGGTATATTTTATTCTAAATATAACTTCTGTTGATTTAAAAATGACTTACGTTTATATGTCAGAGTTGAAAAAAGTTTAACAGATGAAGAACTTCTACAAATTCTCTATAGAAACCAACTCTACAGTTAGTTTTATAGTAAGTTGTGCCCCATTTCAACTCTCTTACCTCTCGTTTTCAGATTATGTTAGTTAAGTTTTGATAATTTTGCAGGATCCTGCAAATTAATAATTACATGAGGTATATTATTAGAGGGAAACTAATCTTACTGCTAAGCAGTATATTGTTCTATATAGTGAATGTTCGTGTTTTGGAATTTAATTATTTAAGTGTTATGAATGATTTAGAAATGTCTGGTGACTTGCTTATTTTTTAAGTGATCACCATTCAGTCAGAAAAAATGTATTTTTAAATGTTTTTTAAAGTGCCTTTTGAAAATTTTTAAGCAATGGATTTAAACAACTGCATAAAATAAATTACCATGTTCAAAATGGTTTCATCTGGTTATTTCTAACAGACATGTAAACTGGAGTAAATATTTTATGGGTAGTTTGGGGGCTTTTTCATCAAAGCTTTTCAATTTTAAATAACAACATAATTGTTCTGCGATGTATATTGTTTAAGGCAACAAAATACTTCACCTCTAACTCAGAACACCTCTTTAAAGAGAAAGGGAGAGAGAGTGAGAGAGAGAGTGTGTGTGTGTATGTGTAGAGGGGGACAGGTTGCTTTCCTGTTTCTCAGTATATTTTTATCCATTATAAACACTCAGAAATTCATTTATTCAGCAAATTGTGCCAACCATAGTTGTAAGACATACAGATTCCCTATTCTCATAAGAGCCTTAATTCTGAGTCAAGAAGTAAGTCAATAGATGCATGAATACATATTTCAAAGTGGTGTTAGGAAAAAGTGAGTTGGTCGAGCAGTTTTCTGGTTGAGGACTCAGTCTGAGCTGTGACCCAAATGACAATTTGTAGACTTCAGAGCAAATAAAATTCTTTGCTCCTAGTATGTAAAAAAAAAAAAGTATTTCTACGTTTGCTTGGTCATGCTTTGGGCATATGTAAAGGCTCCCTGGAAATGCAATGTATAGACAAAAACCTTGGTGTTTGTAGGCATATTTCATCCAGAGCTTAGGTCTACTGATGCCAAATCTGTCTGAGATGTTTAGGATAAGAATAAAAATTGGCATAGTATTCTAAGCACACAATTACAAATGTTCATAAGACCCTTGAGTCTGACCCAGTTTTTTATAACATGTAACTCACATGTGTGTGTCCTCATGCCCTTTTGTTTGGATTAGGCAGCTTTAGAAAAGTCAAGGAGATAGGTGCCACTTCAGGTGCTTTAGCAGTAGAGTTGTATGGTTTAACATTCAGATGGCCATTTTTTTTTTCCAATTAGCTGCAACATAGCTGTGCTGCTAATTGATGTCACTGTGAACTAATTCATTTACCCAAATGCATACAAATTTGCTACTACCAGTTTAAAATTTTCTACCCTGTCCAACTATCACATACTAATAAAAAGGTGGTTTTTTTGTTTTAATTTTCAAATAATAACCTCATAGTACTGGAAAGGATATAAGGTTGCTGAATTTATC